TCTGCTGCTCTTTGCTGTTTTTTATGACATTGTTTTGCGTTCAGGCTTCGCGGGAAGGCACGCGGACGGGGAGAGCAGCAGCACGTCCAGCAGCAGCAGCAGCTCCTTGGCCCCGTGCAAAGCCACGCTGCGCAGCCGCACGGAAATCAACAGGGATCCTCCGCAGCTCCTCAGGGGTATCCGCAAGCCCACAGCTGGTAGGTGCTTCTGATTGAAGTTAGGAGAAGAGTTGGCCAAAAAAGCAGGCAGTGTTGGAGTCTGTGTGTATCTGAGAAGAGAAGATCAAGGTTCTCTTTCTCCAGAAGGCGTATGATGATCTTCAGGCCCCTAAGCCAGACCTTCTGTGAGACAGTTTTTTAAAAGTTTGCCTAGTCTGAGGAGCAGCATCAAGACTTGTACCTGAATGTGACAGAACTGTGACCTCATACCAAAATTCCAGATGGGTGTCTCTTAATTAGCGGGGTTTGAGAGTCTGTCTTCACACCTGAATACTGCGGTCTTCTCCGTCTGCCTTGCTCCTTTTGCTGTAGTAGTTCGACATGAATTTCTTGCCCGTGATGCTGAAATCCTTTTACCCAACAATGTCTATTTTATTTGCCTGCCCTTAAACTCCAGGGCAGATGAAGCGGAACAGGGGTGAGGATATCGACTTCGAAACCCCCGGCTCCATCCTGGTCAATACGAACCTGCGAGCTCTGATCAACTCCCGAACCTTTAACGCGCTCCCGTCGCACTTCCAGCAGCAGCTCCTCTACCTCCTCCCAGAAGTTGACAGACAGGTATGGGGGTGCAGCTCTTGGGAGTTTTCCATCCCCGGCACGGCCTCGTGCTGGCGGGCCACCGGAGCAAACGTCCCTGTGTCCGGCAGGTCGGGGCCGACGGGCTGATGCGCCTCAGCGGCAGCGCTCTGAACAACGAGTTCTTCACGCACGCCGCGCAGAGCTGGCGGGAGCGGCTGGCTGATGGTCAGTAGGTTTGCTTTCCTCGGTGGCTGGGGGAGTAGTGCTCATTTTATGGCATTTTCGGGTTTTCTTGGGCACTTAACGAGCGGGAGTTTAGTCTAGCTTTGCAGGGAATCTGGCTACGTTGCCCCAAACTTTTATTTTTAAAATCAAAGATGTGTTTTCCTTTGGTGCCGTGAGACCTTCAGAACAAAGTGGTGGAGGTGTAAAGTAGTGCTAGACTTACCTTTCCTTAAATGGAGGGCTCTGGTAAAACATGTTTGTTTGGGTTTTTTTTCAAACTTGCTTGGGACTGTGTAACTCTTGCCCTTAAAGAGGTGTGGGCAGCACGTGGATCCATAGTAGAGTGGCGAGCCGGGTGGTGCCGGAAAACCTGTCCTTCGTGTGTCCAGCTACTGTGCTGCTGAAACACAAAAGGTTGCATTTGCAGAATCAGTTTTGTTTGAACCTGAATTTCAGCCTCTTGCTTCCGCGCAGGTGAATTCACTCACGAGATGCAAGTTCGAATTCGGCAGGAGATGGAAAAGGAAAAGAGAGTGGAGCAATGGAAAGAGAAGTTCTTCGAGGACTACTATGGACAAAAGTGAGACATTTTACCTGATCTGTCCTGTTTTATCTGTGTTTATGCAGATGGCAGAGTGTTTCTGCTTGTGGGGTGAATCGTTCAGACTGTTCCAGGGAAATCCGTAGTGAAGCTGGCTGGATCGCACAGGATTTTGTAGCCCATCTATTTTGTTTTCCCAGACAAGTTAATATTACTCATTTTCCATCCCAAATCTTTCCACTTTCTTGTTTTTTTTCTCATTCCCTGTGATAGTAACGGGGGACAGCAGATGTACAGGCTGTCTGACTCAGTGTCTGCTTTGCAATCCGTGTGTCGCGGTGTGCAGTGGTGACGGTGCAGCTGTGAGCAAATGGTTAAATGCTTCAGCTGGGATGGGCTTTAGCCTTCAGCTAGTTTTTATGTTTGCATCGTAGGCTGGGCTTGACCCAAGAAGAATCCCAGGAGCAGAACTTGGTGCAAGAGGACGCCGAGAACAGGACAGGACTGTCTGTCAAGGGCGAAGCGAGGCTGCCGCGCGGCGCGGCGGCGCGGCAGAGAGACGGGCACTTCAAGAAGCGCTCCCGGGCCGAGCTGCGCTGCAGAGCCAGGAGGAGCCTCTACAAGCGGCGGGAACCTGAGCAAGCGGAGGCTTCCAAAGAGACTGCTCCCGTGGGACCAGATCCCTCTCTTCGGAAAGAGACGAAGCCCGAGGTAGACCTGGAGAAGGATGATCTGACGAGCCCTTCGGCTGCAGCGCCGAAGCCGGAGAGTTCAGAGTTGCACCTCTCTCCAGAGACTTCCAAATCACACAGTAAATCGGAAGATCTGTCCTTGGCAGCTGCAAACAGGATTCCCAGTTTGCCCCAGGAGGACTCTGCTCGGGAGTCCAAGGACCAGAAGAGGAAATGCTTTGAGGAGGCTGCCTCTGCATCCTTCCCCGAAAAGAAGCCCCGGCTTGAAGATCGTCAGTCCTTTCGTAACACAATTGAAAGTGTTCACCCAGAAAAGCCACAGCCTACTAAAGAGGAGCCAAAAGTCCCACCCATCCGGGTAGGAAAGAGAATTACAATTGCTTGGTGTCTCAGGGCTGTCACGCTCAGTAGCACTGAAACGTTATTAAAATGTCAAGTGTTGTCATCTCAGGAGAAGTGGAAGGGTTCCACTGGCAGAGCTGGCTAAGTACCTCTGATTGCCACAGTTTACTACCTTACTGAGACGGGCAAAGAATGGAAAATCATTCCAAGGTCTTTGCACAGAGCACAGGGTAACTTTGACTTACTCCGTTAGTTCATGTTTCTGTGGATACAGAAATCACTTTTCCTGAAACTGGCTGAATTCTTGCAAAAGACACCTCCAAATCGTATTCTTCATCCTGCGTGGTTTCTCAG